AAGCTGAAACTGATAAGTAACGCAATGTGTGCCAAAACCATAATCTTAAAGGTGCAAAGTTTTGTAATATTTTTGTTTTGGATGTTTTAGAATTTAACACTGTTGTAATTTCATATAACAGCAAAGATGTCACGTTTTAACAGCAAACAGGACAGTTTAGAGATTAAACTTTAGCCTCATAGTAATGATGTTTGTGCAGAAATCACTTTGCCTGTATATTGTTGAATTATACAAATTATATAAAGTCTCCTGGAAATGCATGTTGTTTGAAAAGCTGTATATCTCTTCAAATCTTCATTCCATCTCTTAGACTACACGCTGCTTCTCAGATATTACACACGAGTTGTCCATGTCAGGGAGCATGCTTTTAAACACAACATTGTTAAAGCCTCAGAATAATCAATCTGTTTGTTTTTTTTTCTGATTAAATGATCATTTGTCTATGTCATTTACAAACACATTTTAATAAAATATGTAACGCCAAACTTTAGCAGCTCAATTTAAGCTGCTGTGATCAGAATATATCTTACCTAGCGTATCAAACATTTATTTAAATTATTGTTTTTTTTTAAATAGTCAACTGTGTGCGCAAACACATTTTTATACTTTCACAGTTTCATTCAGCTTTATGCAAGTTATAAAAATGTTATCATAATCTCAAAGTTAATCCTGGTGGTTTTTGAGGAAGAAAAATTATTATTATAAAAACTGCAGGCATCTTAATTTAGGTAGTTTTTTTTTTTCTTGAATCACCATGGCAACAGCATTGTTCTGAAATTTTACCACCTAATTCATACATTACACATTTATACAACACATGTTGAATGTTCTCTTTAGTATTCATGTCAAATCCAAGAACTTCTCAGATTAAAAATAACAACAAAAGTAACTGCAAAAAATTGAGTAAATATGCAGCCTACAGTCTGTGAGCCTGCAAGGACAAACTGTTAGGTTACTTGTGGAGTTATGAGTAACATTTTCTCAATCCATACACACATATAAAGAGCTTTCACCAGTGTGTGTAGAAGCATTTCAGGTGTGTGTTTTAGAGCATTTTGATTACTTATGAGAGGGTTTCACTTATGTGGTTTTCTGTATAATGTGTGAGACATTTGGGTTTCATTGCTGGGTATGCATGCTAATTCTGATGAATGGCCCTAATGGCCCCTCATATAGAGCAAACGCTGCAGGGCAACACTGAGCAAGTTTCTTATGACTTAATTTTGGATATTTTTTCATCTTATTAAGACAAAGACTTTGGTTCTATAAACACGTGAAAAAAGTTTAAAACAAATAAACAATAAGCCCCTTCTAAATAAAGGGTTTTATAAAGTGGTACAGTGGAACAGTGGTTAGAGCTGTCATTTCTCAGCAACAAGGTCGCAGGTTCCCTTTCTGACTTTCTGTGGACTTTACTTGTTCTCCCCGTGGGTTTTCTTTGGCTTCTCTGGTTTCCTCCCGCAGACCAAAAACATGCATGTTAGACTGATTGGTGCCTAAATTATCCCTGGGTGTGAGTGAGAGAGTGAATGGTTGTTTGTCTCATTTGTTTCTGTGTGTCCCTGTGATGGACTGGAGACCCGTCCAGGTGTGGTCCCCCCACCTCTCACACAGTGACTGCTGAAGACAGACAACAGCTCCCCATGACCCAGATGGATGGATGAGTTGGATGGACAGAATAGTTGATTGGCAAAGTTGATGGATGGATGGATGGATGGTTGGCTGGATGGATGAATGGATGGATGAATGGATGGACAGATGGATGGCTGGATGGATGGATGGATGGATGGATGGATGGATGGACGGACGGACGGACGGACGGACGGACGGACGGACGGACGGACGGACGGATGGATGGATGGATGGATGGATGGATGGATGGATGGATGGATGGA